AAAAAGCTAGTCTTACTAGAATATGACATGTACAAAATAAGCTTGTTTTGACCCTTTCTGCCCCTTTAATTATTTACATTTTTTAAAGAATCCTAGATGAAAGTCAATGCAATCTGAAAAAGTACATTAGGTTCTTTGATTTTCATTTCAGTAAAAAGTTTTCCAACCATTAATTAGAACAAAGAATCATCTTAAAAACAAAGTTATCAAATAAAATATAACCATATCTTCTCTATTAGAATCTCTTAGATATAATCAAAGTATAAAATTTGTTTTTGCAGTTTCTATTATTTGCTTCAGGGTTATCTGCTGCATTCTATGGAAAAAAGAGAATAGTTATGGGACATAAATCTGACTGTACTACCAAAGAGAAAGGTTGAAATCAGGAAAGTCAGAAAGGATATGTCATTTAACTATTTTAACTACAGTTATGAGTGGAAAAGTACTCCATCCCACTTGGGGGCAATTATTATTAGCTTTAACTTTCAGGAGTTATGAGATAATGTAAGGGAGTCTAATGTAATACAAAACACAGAGATATAACAAATTAAGGTTTATGTGCTAGATGTAGAATAAAAATAGAGCAATCGCAAAGAGACAGAAAAAGCCACAATGGTAAAACTTAGTAATTATTTCTTTTTTAAAATTAAAATCTTAACTAGCTACTTGAAAGGCTGCTATTGGCAAGTTATGTTACCTCTTCATACCACATTTGTCCATATCTACAAAATAAAACAGCTGAAGCAGAAGAGCTCTAAGGTTCCACTTTCATGATTAATTTCTTCTTCTCCTTTAATTCTCTATGCATTCTATGCTTTGCAGTTACAGAAAATCTTTGACTGGCAATCTAAGCTGTTAACAATAATAAAACAAGATGTTATTGTTTTGCCAAAATCCTTTATGCCTCATTCTAACCACAAAGTTCTTTGACCTCTTCTCAATGCTGGTTTTGTGGTGGTATTTTTTGCTTTTGTTTGTTTTTACAATATATTTTTTTTTATATTGAGGCAACTTTGAGTTTCTCTCATCACTGGCTGATGGGAACTAGGTGGATTGCTATGTCCATGACCAAAGGAACCCCCACTCTTCCAGTTTTACAGTATTTATATTATTTGATATGACATTGAGATATATACAATTTATGCTTGTAACTCTTTGGTAAGGCACCTTCTTCATACCCATTTAACTATAGGATAGTGGGCAAAATATATCTGAAGAGAAATTCTATATTAAATTATGATCTACTTCAAGCAAATTAAAAGGCTACCAAATTTTCCTATGAAAATACCAATCTTGTTTTCATTCCTAAGACAGATACAATTCAAGGTTAAACAAACATGAGTCATAGTCAATGTCTGGAAGAGGTTTATAAGGCTTCAACAGAGTAGAAACTTCTGGTAGCATACAGTAAGAAGTAAAAATAATCAAAATAAAAGTTGTGAATTACTCTCAATTGTGCATGAAGCTTTACAACTGTTACTGATTTACAAAATGCTTCACATTCAACATATTTATGTATGGTAGAGAAGTAAAATAAAAACAAAATAAATTTTACTTTATTGACTATCAGAACTAAAAGAAACAGCTGCTATTTCTCAACTACTTTTTTAGACATTGACATCCTTTTCTTTCAACATTTCTATTTTGAGGAACAAATTCTTCTGACTGAAATGGAATATCCCTTTCAGGTTTAAGAATGTTTAAGCCATGATTTTCTGTTATTTCTTTAAAACCTTCAACTATATAATAGACAGTAAAATTAAGTGGCATACTTTTATAGGTAATGATGGGGGCCTTTCTACCGTGTAATTCTGTAGGATACATGATGATGGCCCTACTCTCTCTTGAAATTCTTCCTGGGCCTTTGGAAGGTGTAAAACTGTCTTCAGTTTGCTGGGGTGGGGCATCATTTAACTTATCACAGCAGTCCATACGGAAGCAGCAAATAGCAGATTTTTTTGATAGATGCTGTCAAGTTAATATAAAAATATTCGCGGGCTGTATAACCTGAATTTTATGTGCTAACTAATATAAGTTTGAACTTTTGTTATTCAAATAACTTTCTGAGTGCATGAATGAACTCATACACACATTACTGTGATTGATGGTAGGAAGAGAAACAAAATAATTTTTTTTTTAAAGTATTGCTATTGTTTTAAAAGCATTTACCATTATTTGAAGGGCTTTCCTTTAATCTAATTAATCAAAGTTTTAAAACTTATTAAAATAAAAAAAAATCTATACGGAAAAGTGGGTTTAAGATAAATATGATAAAGTTTTTCTTTAGTCCAAGTTCTTGAATACCTGTGTGCTAGGTCTTGGAGGAATACTAAAAGAAAAAAATTTTTTTTAACCTAGCTACAAGTAGCTAACATTCTCATGTGGAAAAAGAAGCACAAAACATATCACCAGACTTTGCCAAGTACTGCAACAGAAGTCTATACAGGAGGCCACCACAGAGGCTGATATTGGACCAGCAGGCATCCAGGGGAGAAATGCCTTCATTGAGGCTGAAATACAAGGACCAGGAAGAGGGTTTCCAAGATTGAGGGAGTAACATAAACAATTCCAGAAAGGAGTAAGGCAATATGGATTGTTTTGAGAAATACAAGATGTTCCATATTGCTGGTGCATAAAACAGAAGAAAGGAAAATACTCTCGTGGGTGGGTAAGAGAGATGTGGAAAACAGCCCAGAAGAAATAGCAAAAAGTGAATATAGAACAAAAGTAGATCGAGAAGAGGCTTAGTATACCATAAAGACTGACCTTTATCTACAAGCAATAGACAGCAAGGGATGGGAATGTTTTTAACAGGAAAGTGAAGTGCTCCTGGGAGTGCAGATTGATCCCTCTAAGGGTAGTATAGTGAAGGACTGGTTGTCAAGCAAATAGAACTAGGGGTAGTGAGATCCATCAGAAGGTTAATACTAATACTTCAAGCTAAATTCACTAACCTTCCTTCAATAGATAGTGAAACACATGATACATAAGGTGTTATATTTATTTTTAAAATATACTTACATATAAAATATGATTTACAAATATGATAAATAACCAATATCAGATTGATATTAAAGCCAAAATTAATATTAAGACAACATTTCAAGTTTTAAAATGCTCAACTGGCCTTCAGCCAAAATACATCCCATTTTAGACACTGTCAACCAATATCACAATTTTCTATTTCTTCTCTTGATTAGAGGGACAGCTCTCTTTAGTTTCTTTTTATTGTAATAATTTTATTTGGCCTGTTTTCTGTCCCAAATTTGCATAGAGTATTGCAGAAACAAGATACCAGAAGGAAAAAAAATAAAACCAATAAAAAAGGCGTAAGAAAGCAATATCATATATTTATGCCATATATAAAGTAAATAAATAAAAGATATTGAGTAAAGAACTAAAATCAAAATCTTGATCATGAGATTTCCCAGAGGCAGTAGCAAAGAAAAGTTTAATTGAGAAATGGCGTTCTAGATCAATCATGGTCGCATTTCACAATAAACCAATTTGTTGTCAAAAACCTAAATCAAACTCATTAATTAACTGGTAGGCAGAGCTAGAAAAAGTATAAAAAATGCGTGATTCAGAGACTAAAACAAGCATTAAATAAATGTAAAAATATAGTTTAAATTTAGGTAGATTAGCCTTAAAGCATTTCTGAATAAAACTGATTTTAAAATATTTTACATTATTTTAAAAGTTACATATAATTTTTAAAAAGTGAGAGCCTACAACGATCGACCTCATTTTAAGATGTTTACTTTACATTTAGACCTCTCCATCTGCTGTTTTAGATGTGGTTTATCTCATTTTAGAATGAGCTGGGTCCTACATATTAACCCCAACACAAAACTGTGCCAGAGAATTAGTATTTCCTTGTATTTCTGTTGGCCTACAGTTTAGCAACCTTAACATTATTTTTGTTTTTACCTTAAATATATAGTACAAAAAACCTTTGAAACTATAATCAACTACAATCTAATAGTAACCTAACCTGAAGATTTTAAATATCATGCTAATTTTTATCTTCCACAATTAAAAAAAAAAACAACTGGAAAACTTTCACTGTGTCTAGTGCATAAGTTTTGAATAATGTTATACCAATATCAACATATTTGCTTTTCAAGCTACATGTAATAGATATAAAAAACATTTCATAAGTTTCCTAAATCAGAAAATAATAGATAAGAATTTTTCTGTCCCCTTCAGCACCATTGCTTTTATTCTTAATCTGGGACACACAATACAGTGATGATAAACGAACACAGTACAGCACTACGAACATACCAAGTAATGTGTAAAAGTGCTAGACGTGATAAAGGAAAAAACAAACTACTAATGTGCAGCAAGAGATGTTAATTTAATGTCTTTAGTAGAGAATCACATTTTAAAGGCACCAATCTCACAAATCACTGGGACAAGCTGAGAAACTCTCCTAAAGGCTGAGCCTTTTGCACGTTGGATTAAGACTATTCCTACTTTTTATCACTCCTGGTTCTCTCCAGTCCCAAAATTAGTCATTATTTCACATTAGTGCACTGTCAAATGGACATTGGCTTTAAAAAAAAAAAGACCCCATGTTGATTGCACATTTTGACAAGGTCTACTGTATCTTCACATGTTCATCTGAATTCCATTTCTAGACTACTATAAACTTATAAAACTTCCTGTTTTAACACTGATACTAAAGGAATTTGCCTATAAGAAGACTTCAACTTTGACAGAATGAAGAAACAGAAACTTGCTGATAGGACACAACATGAAATCATGTTGAGAGTCATTCCCACTGCCCACAGTATTTAACTGTATTATGAATGTACAGAGCAATTTTCAGAACAGCACACAAAACTACACTGCCACCAAGAACATTCATAAACAGCAGGCAGCCCCTCCTTATTAGTTTTAACATGCCACACAGCCCTGTGCTTACTGATGCAGAGCAGCCAACAGGGAGATGGAGTTTATGAGTAAAAGTGAGACTGAACTGGCTAATTACTTACCTCCTCACTTATGGCAGGCTTGCTCGTCTAACTTTTTGTTTCCTCTCTTGTCATAGCTCAGCAGCAAATGGTTATGATTCAGCAGAAGTTTGAACCTGACAGTTAAAAAGAATTTTTTTAAAGAAAAAAAAATTGTAAATTAAAGTTCCCCTCTGCTGCAGTCTTTTTTTTCCTTGCCCTCTGTGTGCGTGTTTCTCTCTCGTTTTCTCTCTCTGCAAGGCAAGCTACGTAGTGGTCTATAAATATTGACCCTGACACTTGCTCAGGGCTTTACTTGCTCATGGCACAGGTCTGTGTTACTGAACACCGTGGTAATACTCCGGCAAAGTTCTCAGCTGCTCAGACAAAGCTGTGGATTGGCTCACTACCCAGCAACCCTGTGCCTGCCTGGAAATACCATTTTGCTGCCAGCTTTACAGATGCTATGGGCCTTTCCTGAGGCCCAAATCAGGCACAGAAGGGCAATTATGAGGTTTGTCTGAAGAAATACAGTTTTCCTCAAGCAGGTGGAAAGAAGGGGGGCTGGGTGAAGTAGAAGACAAGAAAGGAAACACTGCCTTTGTTTTGGCCAAACAACATAATCTCAAACGCTTTATAAAAGTCATGCCTAAATATCATTCGATCAAGCTCTATGAAACTGAATCACTACTATATACTATGATTGGCCAAAAGATGTGGAAAAACATTTTTGTAATTGTTTCTAATACTGCCTCTCATTGAATAAGGCTGCTGTGACTGAGGAACTGGCGAAAAAGAGACGTTTCAACATAAATTCATTTTCAGAATGATAGAAATGCATTAGAAACTATAATATTAATCAAATTAAATTATTTACTTGGTGAAAACATAAAATATCTAAAAATTACATGAATCAACATATTAACTACTATTAGATTTTCAATCATAAAAATGTCAATTATTTTATATTTTTAGATTAAGAATAAAATCTAAGCCATGATGCTATATAGTTTGTAGGTGATATGAACAAGGTTATCATTACATACATACATCGCATACAGTGTCCATGGTATCGATAATTAGAAAATAAATCAAGTTCATATTTTTTACTCTTCCTGCCAAGAATAATCCTATATTTGCTTTATTAAAATTTCCTCTATTGATTAAACCAATGGTAAAGGAAACTAGAAATAATCTGGTCACGAACTCATTTTACAGATAAGAAGATGTACCCCCAGTTTACCAATGGTCACATGGAAAGTCTGCAACAGAGCCAAAACTAGAGTCCTTGCCTAATTGCTCTCAGAGTGCTTACTCCTTCTATTACAAGAATGGTTCTCAAATTCATTTTTAGTTTCAAAATCCTATCTTCATGTGAAATCTTACTGTGAATCTTACCAGTAAGCCAGAAAAATAACTAGCATAAAACAAAATTAGCCTTTTACAATTTAACTGACCCTCAAAAAAGTTATGCTCAAGAATTAACTTTCTAACAAGTAAAATCACCTTGTCTTATTTCATTCAATAATTAATATTTGCCCAATAAATTAACATATTGCCAGGAGTGGTATATAGCAAGGTGCTAAAGATACAAAGATAAAACATAATTTCTACTCTCTGAAATTTTATAGCACAATTTCAGAGGGGTAAAAAGCTAATTAAAAAACAGTGCATTAGTGTGATGATGAAGACTCTATAAGAGGGTAGCAAAAGAGCATGGAACATGGGCATCTGAGCCAATAAGAAGTGAAGGTATGAGAGACTTCTGCATCTTACAAAATGAATAGAAGGCAGTAAGGCACAGAAGGGAAAGACAATAAAGACAAAGAGGCATATATAAAACTTAAGCAGTTCTTGTTGGAGCATAGAATGTGATGCAGGAAAGAGTTTTAAAATTTTTTTTTAAAGAATGTGCTTCACTTACTCATCCTCCCCCACCCAAACCCTGGCAATCACTGACCTTTTTACTCTCTCTACAATTGTACCTTGCTCAGAAAGCCATGTAGTTGGAATCACACATTATATAACCTTTTCAGACTGGTTTCTTTTAGTTATCAATTGAATGGATAGTTTTAATGGAGTCAATGTCCAAATTCTCATCTACATAAATTCTTTATTAATGTAGATCTGACTAAAAGCAATGCTTTATTCACAAGAATCTTCCTCTTACTTTACAAAAGAAAGGCACACTCTCGTATATCCCAAACCTTACTATTGCCCTGGTGTCATAGAAAATTTAAGAATTTTAAAATTTCAATTAATGCTTAAATTTCTGTTGCAGAGAAGTATAAGGTAAACAGTTAAAGACTTTTAACTATAAAATATACTGCATAAAAATTCTATGAGGAAGTGAGATGAAAATAAAGGTCAAAAAAATAAAATAGTAATGCAAAATTTTCAGGTTTTAACAGAAGAGTCTATTCATTATTATTTAGATGGATAAGAGTTTTATTAAATTGCTGTGGATTTAGATTCCAATGAGTATTCTTAAAATAGCTGACATAAGTTTTATTTTAAAATGTCAATATTTCCAACAGGGTGGAAATTAAATTCTTTGCAAGTACATATTTTACCACAGGTGAAAAAATGTAGATGTTAACTTGGTAATGTGTGAGTGGTTACATAGTTTTTCAAAATTCTTTGAGGGTCTGTGAACAAAATAGCTGAATATTGCTAGTCTACTGTATAAAACCCAAGTTTTTAACCTGGTATATAAAACTTTTCATCACCTTTCTACTTCTAAGATTTTAGGGCAGTGAAACTATACCGTATGATACTGCAAAGGTAGATACATGACATTATGCATTTAGCAAAAGCCCTAGAACTCTACAACACAAAGAGAGAGCCCTGATAAAAAACATGAACTTTAGATAAGTTTCCTCTTGTCTTTCTGAAGCATGTTTCTACAAAGAGTATTATTATTATTTATTGAGCAACTATCACCTACTACGGGCTTTAGAAATATCATCTCCAACACTAAAAACAACCCTGGCCAATGGGTATGCTTTTGTCATTTTTTAAGATAAAGAAAATGAGGCTAAGAGTTATGAAGTAGTTTGTCTGAAATTATGTAACTAATAAATAGTTGATTTGAATTTCAGCCGAAATCTGACTGGATTAGAGTACCACATGCTGCCTCTTTTTTAGTCATTTAAATAAGATATAGAGGCTGCCCACATCAGGCAAGGAAGTGGATTCAGCAGTGCCCTCATGAGGACAGAAAAGAATGAGTCTTATCCTGCATTTTGAGGAACTGCAATAATTTTAATCTTGAGTATAAAAGGGTAGCAAAAAGAAGAGACTAACGAATTAATCAGTGGAAACCAGTAGACAAGATTAAAATAACTAGTATGCCATATTAAGAAGAACTTAAAGAGTTTTACCTTCAATATGAATGAAGGGAAAGGAACACATGAATGCATGAGTCACCGATGTGAAGACTAAATACTGTCAAAGTGTGAGTTCTTCCCAACTTTATCTATAGATTCAATGCAATCCCAATCATGTCCCAGGAAGTTATTTTGTGTATATGGACAAACCTAAAGTTTACAGAAAGAGACAAAATAACCCAGAATAGCCAACACAATATTGAAGGAGAAGCACAAAGATGAAGGACTGACACTACCCGACATCAAGACTCATTATACAGCTACAGTAATTAAGATAGTGTGGTATCAAAGAAAGAATAGACAAATAGATGAATGGAAGAGTTATAGAGCCTAGAAGCAGATTAACATAAATACAGTCAACTGATCTTTGACAAAGGAACAAAGGCAACATAATGGAACAAAGATAATCTTTACAACAATGGTTCTGGGACAACTGGCTATCCATATACAAAATAATGAATCAAGAGAAAGATCTTATGTCCTTCACAAAAATTATCACAAAAAAGATAGCAGACCTAAATGTAAAATGCAAAACTATAAAACTCCTAGAAGGTAACATAGGAGAAAACCTAGATGACCTTGGGTATGGCAATGACTTCTTAGCTACAACACCAAAGGCACAATCCATGAAAGAAATAATTGTTAAGCTGGATTTCATTAAAATTAAAAACTCCTGCTCTGCAGAAAACAATGTCAAGAGAATGAAAAGACAAGCCACAGACTGGGAGAAAATATATGCAAAAGATTTATCTGATAAAGGAGTGTTATACTAAAACTCAACAGTATGAAAACAAACCAAGTTTTTAAATGTTCCAAAGATCTTAACAGACACCTCACCAGAGATACAGATTGCAAATAAACATATAAAAAGATACTGCACATCACATTTCTCATCAGAGAAATGCAAATTAAAACAATAATGAGATACCATTACACACCAATTGGAATGACCAAAATCTGGAAATACCAAATGCCGGTGAGAATGCAGAAAAATAGGACCCTTCATTCATCGCTGGTGGGAATGCAAATGGTACAGCCACTCTAGAAGACAGTTTAGCAGTTTCTTAAAAATTAAACATATTCTTACCATGTGATCCAGCAATCATGTTTCTTGATATTTACCAAAAAAAGTTGAAAACTTTTCATGTCCGTGCAAAAACATACACATGAATGTTTTATATCAGTTTTATTCATAATTGCCAAAACTTGGAAGCAACCAACAACATGCCTTTCAGTAGGTAAGTAAACTGTCATTCATCCAAATGATAGAACATTATTCAGCACTAAGAAGAAATGAGCTATCAGGCTATGAAAGCATAGAGGAATCTTAAATGCATATTACTAAGTGAAAAAAGAAATCTGAAAAGACTACATACTACATAATCTCACCTATTTGACATCCTGGAAAAGGCAAACTACAGAGGTGGTAAAAAGATCAATATTTGTGGGGGTTGGAGCAGGGAGGGATAAATAGGCAGAGCACGGAGGATTTTTAGGGCAACACCAAAAATACTGGTGAAATATTCTGTATGACATTATAATAATGGATACATATCACTATACATGTGTTCAAATGCACAGAATGTATACCATAAAGAGTGAACCCTAAACTATGAACTTTGGGTGATAATGATGTGAAAATGCAGGCTCATCATTTATAATAAATGTACTACTCTGGTGGGGAACACTGTTAATAAAGAAGGTCATACGTGTGAGGACAGAGGATATATGGGAAATCTCTCTACTTT